TCTTCGACCGCAGAGTTTTAATTTTGTATACCACTACCGCCAGCTATAGGTTCATCAATTGAATTGAATGATGAGACCATAATATTATCCGAGTTCGAGTCACTGTCTTTCAATTTAAGTTTATTAATTTGATTCAAAGTTTCTTTTAAAAGCTGTCGAGCTTTAGCAGCTTCTTGATCCGATAGGATAACATTAAGCCTTGTGTCTAAATAAAGGGCTTCCAACATAACGTTAGTATTTAGAAGATTTACTTCCCGTGTCTTCATACAGTCTAACAAACTCTGGCTTGTCGGTGTTCTGCGCTTTTCTAAATTACCTTTGCATGTCAACCACTCTATGAAAAAATCACCCAGTGTCAATTGTTCTTTTTGCAGTTTTAATGTTGCTATAAAACAAGGTTTTAGACAATCAATTAGATCTGTAATTGTTTGCCAATTCGATTCATCTAATCTTGACATGATATTTGCATCATTAAGACATACAGTTTTTAATGACTGCATCCTTAATAACATGTTGTAAGTAGAAGACCATCGTGTAGGACAATCAATAATAGGCTTCTTCAAGTTGGCTCTTTTCAAAATATTTCTAATAGTCGGTGTTCTTAACAATTTGACTACTTGTCGCACACGAAATATTAAATTGTCAACATCTGGATTCGATTCAAAAAAATCTTTAATAGCTAACTGAAGCGTATGTGCAGCGCACAGCATTGTTCTCGGTAAAAAATTGGATCTGGAGTAGTTTTCATTTTCATTTAAAGCTGTCATTAGGCTGTCGATTGGAATCTCATGATTTATATCATTTGCATTATCTTCGTCTTCCTCGTCTGTTTCACTGTCTGTATTATATTGTCCAGATTCTTGGTCAATATCAATGGGCTCGTATGAACCACCTAACAGCTTTGCCATTTTTTTAAAATTCTTTCCATTGTCGGTAGTTATACAATTAATTTGTGATGCGTCAATTTGATAATCATTTAAAACATCTAAAAGAGTCTTCTTCAGAAATTCCCCTGTCTGGCGCTCAAATACTTCCTGTGCAGCTGAAGTACGTATTTTAACAATTTCGTTTTGTATGTATTGTACATTAATGCCAAGAAATGATCTGTCTTGATAGGTCGCAGAATCTAATTTTACACATAATAATTTTCGTCTTAATTCCGTAGCAATCTTTAATTTAATTTCATAACTTTTGTCTGCAATCATCGATTTTATTGATTGGATATTTATAAATTTATTAGTCGGTACGACCATATTAATAATTTTTTGAAACGCTGCATCCTCTAATAATTGAAAGGGTCTACCATGAATAGTGACAAGTTTTACGCAATTTGTTTTAATTTCAGATATTAAGTCGTCGTTTCTTTTTTGCGAGACGTTTTGTTCACGTTGTGTATTATTAATTATTAAAATATCATCAAATTTATTTTTATGTTTGACAGACATGTGATTTTTTATGTTGCCCCTGAAACAAAATATATATAAATTACTAAAAAATGACCCACATAAGTGCATTAAATATTGAAGATAGAATGTTTAACTTTTTTTTAAACATAAAAGCTATGAATGTAATATTAGTGATTTTCAAAGGATAAAATCAGTCTATCATTAGTGACACCTTGTATTAGATGCACTTATATTAATTATATATGAATCCAACCTCAAATCATCTAAAGTTGCATCTTATTAGGTCTTAAGAACAGTTTGGTTTACACCGCGTATTGACATCGTGAGAGGGGCTTGATAAATATTAAAAAATAAAAATCTGTTTCTGCAAACACATCAATGATATAGCTCTAGAGCTTGCAGGTGTCTAGACATACTTAAATTTATTTTAATATAGCATCCATGGCTCATTTTCCCCTTGCGGGGTTCGAACCCGCAACCACAAGTTATATAATCCGGAGCGGGTTATAAAACTTGTGGTATAAGGGTTCCTTTTTTTCTTTTTTAGGTACGGAACCCTAAAACATAGTAAGTGGTCTATCCCCACGAGAGGCAAGCATCCCTCGAATATTTTTTTACGTTACGCTGGCTGCTATCCGCTTTAGTAGGCTACTTCTGGAAGGATTCTCTAAATTTAAATCTAAATTTAACATCAGTCCGTCCTTTTCATTCTGTATAGAGAATGACAGGGATACACTGTTGTCAAATTTAAGTTTAGCTTTAGAGAATCCTGCCAGAATCGATACCACTATCCCTTTTTTGAGAGGTCTAATAAAACCGGATTTACTCAAAACCATATTAATGAAGTTACAAAAATAGGCTACTATGAAAGATCAAGGACCGTTGTTTTGATATACACGATACATCACTTCTAGTAAGTACATATTTTTTAACGATAGAGCTTTATTAAAAAGTGGGGTATCTATCCGGCTTTTACCCTACTATTACAGCTATATGAAGCAAAAAACGGGTCAACCTCGGAATGAGAGGTAATAAGCTGAAAATTTGTAAGGACCTTTGTTTTGGCATCCTTAATGATGTGTCAAAAGTCTCATTTATAATCTCATGACGGCTTCTTCAGATATTGAAGGTCAAAGGTCACAAATCCCTTTTTCGCAAATATCTCGCTTTCTATGCGTTCGATCGTATTTGTACCTATTATAAAAATTGTACAGCATTAAATTCTCTACAATTTGTGTGTCAGTGTCAAGCATTTTGTTTTACGATTAATTGCTTTTGAGAAAGAGTGCGGAGAACGCGCAGCGCTCAGTTATACATAATAGTATGGAGTTCATTTACTCAAAATCAAATCTAACGCGAGCGAAGCCGCGGGCAAAAGCTAGTAATAATATAAAAACATATAAATAAATACTACTATTAAAAAAGCGTTTAAAACTTTTTTTACTGAACTTTTGTTTAATGGACTAAGTACCTAATAGATTGCTGTACCTGTGTACGTACCTACCTATTTACTTTATAAATACCTACACAATGTTCATACCATACCTCACATAATCAAAGCAAAAAAATGGGAACATAGGTACCTACCTTTATTTTACCTTGGCAATGTATGCACTGACTGTAATTCGTCTCTTCTTCATACGTAAAGTGCCTATGAACTGCATCTTTTTTCACTTTTGGCATTATCACAGTTCAATCACACAGAAGCACTTAGTTAGTTTATTATTAAAAATGTAAATGAACTAGATTTTAGATTAGAAGTTTTGCGTTATATAATATAACGCAAAACTTTCGATGATTCAGCTCAGCTTATAAAGAAAGTGATCGAAGTAAATAAACAATAGGTAATACCGGGCAGCAAGCGGCACGTGCTACAATTACAATACAATCAATACAAATTACTCGTAAATAAACTTAAAAAGAAAGCACCAAAGAATCAATTTAGCTTGGTGTAATGACGACGAGGTCATGTCAAGTTATAACTCGTCACTTCACTGAAGGGCCAATCACAGCTAGCTAGCCGTGTGTCTCTTTCTATGTATGAATTTTGAACAAAAAAGGACTCTACGTAAGAACCGGTTTATATAGAGGTTATTAATCAATTATACAGGTTAACCCTTTATGTCGGGTTTTTAACCTAATCGTTAAAATTAAACCGATTAAAACACCTATACGGGTACCCATATCGGTCCTTGATTAATTGAGAACTTTGGAGATTTTGTGTGGTTTTGTTTGGAATAGAAATCACGTGATTTCTCGAAAACCGGAAGTGCTACGTTACTCACATCCGGTTTGTAGTCTTATCAGAGTATTCTTAACTTATAACTTAAACATTCTCTATATCTATCTCTTACGGTTTGGCCGCTGAAACAGCACCACGGACGGACGGACGGACGGACTTGTCTAATAGATAAGAGACTAGCAAACCAGTGAACCAAATGTTCACCAAAAAAAAAAAATGTATTTAATTAATTGAGAACTTCGGAGATTTTGTGTGGTTTCGTTTGAAATAGAAATCACGCGATTTCTCGAAAACCGGAAGTGCTACGTTACTCACATCCGGTTTGTAGTCTTATCAGACTATTCTCAACTTATAACTTAAACATTCTCTTTATCTATCTCTTACGGTTTGGCCGCTGAAACAGCACCACGGACGGACGGACGGACGGACTTGTCTAATAGATAAGAGATTCTCGTGTCGCGGTGTTTGTGGTTAAACTCCTCCGAAATGGCTCGACCGATTTTCGTGAAATTTTATATGCATACTAGCGGACCCGACAGACGCTGTCCTGTCTACACGTCTTTAATTTGAAAATTTGACACTGCGATGGTAGCGCCGTCTGTCGGATCCAATGTAAAACATTCCAAAATCAACAACTACTAATAAATTAAAAATTAATTAAAAAAACATTGTCCAGCGGACAAAATTGTGAATCTAAACCATTCTCAGATCCCCTTGAACACACACAAAAAATTTCATCAAAATCGGTCCAGTCGTTTAAGAGAAGTTCAGTGACATACACACTCACAGAAGAATTATATATATAAAGATTCAGTAGGTCTGAGAATCGGATGTAATCTATTTTTCATCTCCCTAAATGTTAAGGGTAATCCACCCCTATTTTTTTTTTTAATTTTAGATATTTTTTATTTTTTTATGATACAGCATTAGTAAATACATATAACCCTGAATTTTCAACCCTTTAAAATCAACCCCTATTTTTTTATGGCGGTACATAGTTCGCTGGGTCAGCTTATATAAGTATATTTATTTAGAAATACATATTAAACATCCATGACTGGAGTACAAATGCACGTATTCTTCACACAAACATCTGCCCCCCTGCTATGTGCTGTATATAGCAACATCCCTTTCTAACTATGCTCAAGACTAGATCAATCACTGAGAATCTTTCTATAATACGCGCCTAAGATTCTAATTGGTGTGAATGTTGGAAATATTTATTTATTTTATTTGATGTTTCATAAAGTTTAGCCTATCACAGCCCAGAGTCTCCTTATTCCATCCATAGGGAAGGTCTGTGCCCCACCAGTGGGACGTTAATAGCCTGATGATGATTGGTTTGTTATCAGGTCCATTGCAAGGCAGCACCACGCCCAACGGTGGGCCAAAAACTGGCTCAGATTGTTTCAACACGGTGGTGAGTTTATATTATGTATTTTAAATTTATTATACTATTTCTTTATTCCTTATTTCTTCTGTGCTCGGGAATTTTTGTTTTATGAATTCATTGATTCTTTGATTCTAAGTTTTCAGGGACACCACATATTAAATAAAACCACTTTTTAACGAGTTTTAAATCCCTTTTTTTAAATAATTCTAAAGATTGAGTTATATAAGAAAGCATTTTAAACCCTTTGCTAGGTCTTATTTAATTAGTTATTTTCATATTTTTGACGTGACAACGTCTTAAATTAGGTTGCGGCTGGGAGTCACTTATGAAAAAGTGTAACGCTCGGTAACGTTACGATGAGTCTCTCGTGTTAAGTTTAAGTTTACATGTACAATGTTTTAGTAAACAAAATATATTTCTATAGTTAAAATTTGTGCAATTCTTATTTTCATTCAATTCCTTGTTCCTATTGTGCAATTTAATTATATTCATATCAATAAATATTCTACCGAGAAAAAGACGTTGTCACGTAAAATCTTCGCCCGTAAAACCGACTTTACAGGCAACCATTTTTTTTTCTTATTAATAATAATAATAATATTTCCAACACTCACACCAATTAGCCTAGCCCCAAAGTAAGCACTATATGGCATGTGTTATGGGATACTAGGGTAACGGATAGAATACATATACTGTACATATATAAGTATATTTTTGTAGAATTACATATTAAACATCCATGACTGGAGTACAAATGCTCGTATTCATCACACAAACATCTGCCCTACCGGGATTCGAACCCGGAACCTCTCGAGTCGGCGACACTTCAAATTAATAGTAATGAAAACATGTTTTTTTTATTTATATTAAATTACTGTATATCAGTAATATACTTTGATGACTACTTTTTTAAACATGGCAATACCTGTTCAGTTGTATAGCAGCATACTCACATATGGAAACTATTTATAAAATTATCATCTGCTAGCTCAGATGTGGCAATTTTTATTGATATATGGGGCCCGATTTTGGCATGATTCTCTAAACTTAAAACTATATTTGGCAATAGTGTCTCCTTTTCATTCTATATAGTAAATGACAAGGATACACTGTTATTAAATTAAATTTTCAACACATTTGTTAAAAAATGCTTTAATGAGGTTGTATACATTTTTCGAAAGATCAAAATTACGCGCCATACAACGAAGCGTGCGGTAAAACATTTTACCGCATGCTCTCATATATGACTTCGTGCGTATCTTTTACGGGTTTTCCTATTAGTCGATCGAACCTCTTTGGAAGCGCTTTTAATCTATACGTTTATCTTACTTTGATTACTAAAATGAAAAAGTAATGAAAGATGTAGTTCTATTTTCACCACCCGCACGTGGCGCCATTTGGAAATTCGCGCAATTTTCTTATTAGATAAACTTTGTATCATTACTTAAATTAGGTTTAGGTACTGTTCTATCGAGGAGCTCGATGGCGCAGGTGGCTAGCGCGTTCGGCTGCGATTGTTGAAGTTAAGCAACTTTCGCAGTGGTCGGTCATTGGATGGGTGACCAAAAATTTACTATCTCGAGCTCCTCCGTGCTTCGGAAGGCACGTTAAGCCGTTGGTCCCGGCTGCATTTGCAGTCGTTAGCACCCACCAATCCGCACTGGGCCCGCGTGGTGGGTCATGGCCCAATCTCCCTATTCCATCCATAGGGAAGGCGTGTCCCCCAGCAGTGGGGACATTAATAGGCTGATGATGACGATGACTGTTCTCGCGAATGTCTTGAAAAACTTTGTCGAATTGGTATTTACACACTCGTGACTACGGTAAGCTTTCGACTTCGTCACTGGCTTATATTCGTCTACTCGTTTGTAATAACTAACTTACCGAATTTGTATTATGAATAACTAATAATAATAATAAATATTTCCGACACACACACCAATTAGCCTAGCCCCAAAGTAAGCACTATAAGGCTTGTGTTATGGGATACTAGGGTAACGGATAGAATACATATACTGTACATGTATAAGTATATTTATATAAATACATATTAAACATCCATGACTGGAGTACAAATGCTCGCGTATTCATCACACAAACATCTGCCCCCACCGGGATTCGAACCCGGGACCTCTCGAGTCGGCGACAGCCATGAAACCCACGGCCACGGAGGTCGTCTTCTATATCGATTCACAATATTACACCAGCACCAGGCCCAAATTTTCTCATATATTTTTCTATTTAGACATAATAGTAATAAATGATTATTGAATTTCAAATTTTACAATATATTACTAAGCTAGCTGTGCCCCGCGGTGTTACCTGCTGTTTATTAGGAATATTTTCCCGCAGTAAAACGTAGCCTATATGTTAATCCAGGGTGTCAGCTAACTCCATACCAAATTTTATTAAAATCGCTCCAGCCGTTTAGACGTGAAGAAGTAACAAACATACACACTCACAAACTTTCGCCTTTATAATATTAGTGTGATTGTAGACATAACAAAAGATATGAAATGAAATGAAAAGTCATTTATTCAGTCTAGGCTGTTACAAGCACTTGTGAAGGTCAAGAAGCTACGCCATCGGTTCGCAAAACTACGGCGGGAGACCTTGTACTGAGAAGAACCGGCAAGAAACTCAGCAAGGGCTGCTTTTTTCTCCCTGTATTGATATATACAGAGTCGTCAAGTTGAAAAATGACTTCAGAGATACTTCTGAAGTCACCTTCCATTACATTATTTAGGGTATAGATATATAGTTACAATAAATTTTATATTTACTATATATATGAAGCGGTATTAGATAGGTACCATATTACTGTTACAAAAACTGACTCATACCCATCAAATAACAAATTACAAGAAACACTATGTCCATGCATTTCGATCATTTAAATAATCATTAACTTTATAATAGCCCTTATTCATAAGAGTATTCTTAATCTGAGATTTAAATTTGGTTAGTGGAAGCTCAATCAGATCTTGGGGAACTTTGTTAAACAATGCAATACTACATCCCAGAAATGAACCTCTTGATTTTTGGAGTCTGAAACATGGAACGGCAAGCTTATTCTTAAATCTCGTGTTAAAGTTATGGGTTTGACTTTTTTTTGCAAATGCGTCATAGTTTTTTCTTCTTATGTAACTTATACTAAAGTCTTCTACAACTAAATTTATACAATAATGAAAACTAAAATTTGTAATATAGAACCAAAACAATAATTAACTAAAGCGAGCATTATTATATACCGTAAATTATAATATACTCTAAGATATTATTAGATTATTATTTTATTTATTTTTTAAGCATTTAACTGCTAGATGTTTAAATCTAAAGTTTACTAGAAATAAATCCACGCGGACCAGGCAGCGGACGGGACCATTTATTCTGAAATGGACATCAACATCTATGTATCATCGTAGGACATACTTAGTAAGGCATCGTGAATATAAGTTTGGCGTGTTTATAATCTTAATATATATAAATCTCGTGTCACAATGTTTGTCCTTAATGGACTCCTAAACCACTGAACCGATTATATTAAAATTCGCACACCATGTGCAGTTCGATCCAACTTGAGAGATAGGATAGTTTAAATCTCAAATTATAGTCGCAATTTTAATTTATTGCAAATTATTACTTTTGGGCGGTACGAAGTTCGCCGAGTCAGCTAGTTTAGATTATAAATATTTAGTTTAAAATTTAGCCGGTTGTATAAAAATGGTCCTTGGCACATGGCAACTTCTTTACTTCAACATCAACTTTCAACACATTGCATTCTTCAACTATATATTTTTCCACGTATTTAGGTATGGCAACCCAGCGCCCCGTGGGCCATAGAAGAAGGCGAGCGTGCGGTCAAAGTGTCAGGCCATAAACTCCCACTCGCGCCACCATACGTTCTCCTGGCAACACCGCGCACCTTACATCTGTTATCTAGGGACAAACATCATGTGGTAAGTCGCAATTTTATGTATAAAAAAATTTAAGGTACTTTGAAAAATTCAATAAAAAACGTGGATATTTTGGATTAACTTTATTACCTACTCTATAAAAAATTTTAGCATATAGATTTACTAGCGGCCCGCTCTCGCTTCGGTGTAGAGCTGAAGTGTAGACTACAGTTTTTGTTCTCATGCTTGTAAAGTCTCAGTCCGATCGGTTTCAAATTGACAAAGTTTCATACAAACTTTCATTCCTTATTTTACCCCCTTGGGGGTAGAATTGATCAAAATTCTTTCTTAGCGGATGCCTACGTCATAACATCTACCTGCATGCCAAATTTCAGCCCGATCCATCCAGGGGTTTGGGCTGTGCGTTGATAGATCACTATGTCAGTCAGTCAGTCAGTCACCTTTGAGTTTTATATACAGGGTGTTACAGAATTCCGAAATAAAATTTGTAGGTATGTATTCCGAAATAAAAATTTGTAGGTATCTGAGCGGGGCGCAGGGACGCCTGTGGGAGAGAAGGGGGGCTGTTTAGGTAGTAGTAATCGTACGCATTGTCATAGGCAGGTGTAAAACGATATTTTTATTTATTTAATTAGAAAATAAAAGTGGTCTGAAAGGCGTCAAACTTTCGTTGGTAATTCTATACAAGGAACACAACCAAACCCTAAAGTTTTATTTCGGACTTTTGTCACACCCTGTATATAGATATGTAGTTAGTTATATCTATTAAGCTGAGGCAGGGTCCTGATTGGCTATTCTTCATTCTCCTTTGTATTTCTCTGTTTTGTTTTAGTTTTATTGTTTTTTTGCTCATTGTTTTTTCTATTTTTCTACATATGTGTTCGATGGCTAAGTTTTATGTGGATTTCTCAATAAAAATCGTAGAATATTGTTCATAGTAGAATACAGTACCCCTAGCACGAACCATTATCGAATTCGAATAGTTTGCAAACCGAAATGTCAATGTCAAATTTTGTATGGAAACTTGAACAGCAGCGGCACAAAGTACGTAACGAGAACTAAAAATCAGTACACATTTGACAATGACATTTCGCAATCGCAAACCATTCGAATTCGGTAATGGTTCGTGCTAGGGGTACGGATCTTATTAAAATTTTGTGCGTACGTTATCTTTTTGAATTAGAATTGCAAGAGGGAGTGTGAATGTATATAAAACTAATAAGTGAGGAATGAATGTATTGTCACAAACTCTCTCGAAACGCAACCGCGAAAGTGCTAGAGATCGAAATTGCCAGAGCACCGCGGGTCGCGATAGAGGTCGAGTAATGCGGCTCATTCTAAAATGAGCCTTATGCAGTGCGGCATAAGGAAGAAAGTGCAACGACACCTGCATTTGTTTACAAGTTATGCGCGTTACCTGCGTAGGTATAAGTAGGTACTTCGTACTCGGGTACTAGCTAATTCTCAATTTAACAGGTACTTTCTAGAATGCGTCGATCGGCGTATATAGTTGAGTTTCAACAGTGATTTCGGAGCGAATCCAAAGGCGATCAAAGTGCAACAAAAGTGTTCAAGTGAGATTGTTTAGAGACGTGTATAGTGAAATACAGTGTTTAGTGAGTGTTTTGTAATTAACATTGTGTGTTAATGGGGTGCACTGTGTTGTGAATAAAGAACTGTCAAGCGTGAACTGGCATATAATTTCGAACCCCATCCCGACACGTAACAATATGAACGGACGATGATGATGGACCGATTGTAGATTCTCTCGCCGAAGGAAAGATGGCGTTAACATATGTATTTCCGTGTATGGCCAATAAACACTTTTTGGAGTTTACTCCTTAAGAATCGATTTGCATATGTAAGGGGCCCGGTATGAGAAAAATGTGAGGAGTAAAATGTATCGATGAATGACCTCGTTACGTTTTTGGTGCGCATCCTATGTCGCGCAACTTTGACAAACAAAGATGACGGATTGACATTAATAAAAAAATTAAAATCTGAACTGAATTTAGATATTGTTTCTGATAGAGCAATGGGGACAACGAGGTATGGTACAACCATTGATGCGGTAATTTCAAGATTCGTGAACCACGTATCTACGAACGTCCATGTGTCTTATTTTAGTTACCATAAACCACTTGTCACTGTAATTAATAATGCAGACAATGTTGATTTAATTAATATTGAAAAAAAATATAATAGTTTGATAATAATAATTACATAATTTATCAACATTCCTAATGATATATTTATGCACATCCGAAATTGACTATTGTAAAAAGTTTAATGTAAAATATTTCGTCGATTATTTATAATAAATGTATATGAAATGAATAAATATATATTTATATATGTATATTATTTTCATTAATTTGTTAATTTACCCTTTCATACAGTATCAATCTTTTTTAAGTTAAATAAACTCTTCTTGCGTCTGGTTAGACTATCGAACTTAAGGAGTAAACTCCAGTCGTGCGTCGGAGCTGAAACACACAATTATTTTTTCTTTAATTCCCAACTTACCGCACTAATATCATAAATAACTATTACGTTTGTTTACAGATATGTTCGCGGGCTGTGCCGTTAAACGCTAGCTTTTCGGAAATTCCTACGGGGGCGGGAACTCCTCCGAAGAAGCCTAAATATGGACCTGGCGCTTTACCGGTGAGGAATCTTAGCCATATCCATAATAATCTACCTAAAATTATCAATATTAACGTATTGCTGAACGGATTTCGATGAAATTTTTACAGACAGACAGATCATAATCTGGAAAGGCAGATACTTATGTTACGTTTAAACTGCTGAACCGATTTAAATGAAATTCGGTATAGGGGAGGAACCTAACCCATATCCATTATAATCTAACTAATATAATCAACTAGCTGTGCCCCGCGGTGTTACCCGCGGTTTATTAGGGATGTTTTTCCCGCTGTACAAACATAGCGTATGTGTTAATCCAGGGTGTCAGCTAATTCCATACCAAATTTTATTAAAATTGCTCCAGCCGTTTAGACGTTAAGAATTTACAAACAATCACACTCACAAAATTTCGGCTGTATAATATTAGTGTGATATGAACGGATTGCTGAACGGATTTCGATGAAATTTTTACAGACAGATAGATCATAATCGGGAAAGGCAGATTGTTACTTTTGTTACGTTTAAACCGCTGAACCGATTTAAATGAAATTCGGTATAGGGATGATTTGAGTCCTGGGAAAGGATATTTATCATATTTATTATATGATAGTTTGTACCAGAAATCATAGTTTAAAGTAGTGACATGGGGGATGGAAATTGGTATGGTTAACCACGAAATCGTAGGAATCTTGATCTAAACTAATATTTTAATGAAGAAAGATTGTTATTTTTGTCGGGAATAAACTCAAAAACTACTGGACCGATTTCAAAAATATGTTTATCCTTATAATTTTTATTTTTTAAGCATGTAATTGCTTGATGTTTAAATCTAAAAAAAATATAACTAGAAAAAAATCCACGCGGACCAGGCACCAGACGGGACTCGAACCCGCACCCTTCGCTCTCCGGGCGAATGCACTGACCAATTATGCTACCGCGGCCCTGACGGCCGCGTCGAAATTCTTCTAGCCATTCTTAAGCTGCAAGGCAGCACCATTTCTTCGCATTGTAGGTAACCCACAATGTCAGTGCATTATATATAGCGAAGGGTGCGGGTTCGAGTCCCGTCTGCTGCCTGGTCCGCGTGGATTTTTTTTCTAGTTATTTTTTCTTTATATGTATAATTGTATACCCGTTAAAAACCTATATTTCTCCTGACCTGTCCCTGTAGCATGAGTACTACAATTTACATTATATCATGTTTTCTATCGAGTCTAACTGACAAACTTCACAGTAATTTGACATTTGAGTGTGATAAAAACGCGATATATATCATATTGCGGCGCTCATGTTTAAAGTGGGGGGGGGGGGGGGTAAATACGACGTTTCTTTTGTTTTTTTCAACCTATTAATGTCCCCACTGCTGGGGCACAGACACAGTGTTGCTTATGGATTGAACTAAATTAATTTATGTATGAGATGGGAAGCTCGATGGCGCAAGTGGTTAGCGTGTTCGGCTGCGATCGTTGAAGTTAAGCAACTTTGGCAGTGGTCGGTCATTGGATGGGTGACCAAAAAATTTCTATCTCGAGTTCCTCCGTGCTTCGGAAGGCACGTTAAGCCGTTGGTCCCGGCTGCATCTGCAGTCGTTAGCACCCGCCAATCCGCACTGGGCCCGCGTGGTAGCCATGGCCCAATCTTCCTATTCCATCCATAGGGAAGGTCTGTGCCCCAGCAATGCGGACATTAATAGGCTGATGGTGATGATGAATTTTAAGGATTGACTTAAATTACTTCATAAAAATAATATATATATATATATACATGGTGTAAAAAAACCTATAACGAAGTCGAAGGCCACGTATTTTCCACATCATGACGATCATTTTTTTCTTCTGGACCATACCTGGGAAATTTATGGTTATGGAGATATTGAAGGTCAAAGCCAAAGTATTTTTTTCAAGATTTATACATTAATATTTTCAGAACGTTATTTACAAACTTTTTTATCGACGCACTTACACACACGCACACTTATACACACAGGCACATTCTTTGCGTAGCGCCACAGTAGCGCGCCGCGCTATACATTGCGTACTGGAAAATTTTTTTTTTTTTTTTCACTTGAAAAAAACAAAATTTTCCCACTTACAATATTTTGTTATATGACTTGTTTGGGTGTACAGAATGCGTACTTTAAGTCTTTGTCATAGGTTTTTTTACACCCTGTATATATATATATATATATATTTATTTTTTATAAACCGCAGTCAAACACCGAGTATTGCGCTACAGTATGCGGCATAGACACGTCAGAATTAGGAGGAGTAGTGGCTGCCATAGACACGCACGCGAGACTGCACGTGTACACTATGCCTGCCTGCAACGATATGCGTGAGTTCAACGATTTATGTTATTATCAAAGACAGACTCTTTGATTATGAATATCTATAAATAACACTTATAGCTTAGTAGTAGGGAAGCCCAAGCGGGGATTTTTGTATTTACTCGAGCGCGACAGAATAACATATGGGGAGCAACCTTGCACCTAGTTAAGTACAAGTATAGGAAGGCCAAAGGGGAAGATCTTCCTCCGAGCTGGGTGATTTATTTATTTATTTATTCAATAAACATGCTGATTTACAGAACTAGTTCCAACGCATCAGCAGGTCACATTAATTCAATTTATAAATAAAATACAAATTATACATTACAATAAATACAATAACATTAATTGAAAATAACACATCAGCAGGTCACATTAATTAAAATTATAAATAAAATATAAATTATACATTACAATAAAATAAAAAATTAAAATAATAAAAACAATAAAATTAATTGAAACTAACGCATCAGCAGGTCACATTCATTAATATTATAAATCAAAAACAAATTATACATAAGAATAAAATCAAAAATAAATACAATAAAATTAATTGAATTTAGTCCAATGTCAATGGTAGCTCGGGGCCGCGGCCCGACTGATGTTGGTCGGGCATCGTATATATGAACTGTTGTTTACACCCTTAGAAAAACGAAGACTACCCAGATTCAAAATTCCTGCAGCCCGCTCAACAATTTTCAAACGTCACTTCAAATACATGGCTCCGTACATTTATAACAAAGTGCTACGGTCATTCAAATACTGTATAAAACATAAGTCAAAAAAATTGAAGCAACTAGTTATAAAATGGTTGGAACAATTTAACTATGACAATCTAGAACAATTAGTACAAACAATTACTAGCTTGTCTTAGATCTATACATAATTAAATATCCACACACATAACACACGCACACGCGCACACACACACACACACACGCACACACACGCACAGACACACAGACACACCTAAACTATACATAATTGGTTGTTTGTAGTTTTCAAGTAACATGTGTAATAATTGCATGTTTATTATAATTTTATATTTATATAATAAGGATGAGCCTGCCTCTCATAACACAGGGTAACCTTATATGAGAGCAGTTCTAATTTTGTACAAACAAAAAATATTTGGAATAAAGAAATTTTTGTTTTTGTTTTGTTTTTTGTTGTCTGCCGAATTTCACTTGCGCGATGTAGGCTTCCTTACGATGTGAACGCAGCGCCGGTAGCGCCATCTCTTGAGGAGGCGAGTGATTTTTTTACTCCATGATAGTTATATGTGGGGCATATAGATGTCGCCGCCACACTCCCTCTTACTCATTTACTCCCACTTCTACGATTTATGTAATGTTTATGTATAAACCACTGTCAAACACCGAGTATTGCGTCCATAGAGGTATAAGAATAGAGTAGGGGAGATATAGACTCTACTACAAGTGGAAGTGTCCCTCTAATAGAAAGAGAAAGAAGATGTGAGACCGCCAGCTTTCTCTCTCTAATCGCGCATGCGCATTGGCAACCGTAAGCGTCTTACTATTTCGATGTGATGGCTTTGGATGCCATGCGTCACAAGAGAGAATGAGATAGCGGTCTCTCATCTTCTTTCTCTTTCTACTAGACGGACACTTTTAGAGCCGCCTTCCCCACTCTATTCTTCTACCTCTATGTGTAAAGGTACTTCATTTGACGTTGTGAGTTACTTACAATACGAAGAGATGTCGCTGTCTTGCAGCTTAAGGAATGCTAGAACAAAATCGACACGGTCATCAGGATCGCGGTAGCATAATAGGCTAGTTGACTCATGTCGAATTGTATTACCACTTAGTGGTTAATAAATAATCCACCATTATTAGACATCTGTTCGAAAGGTACTTTGAACGATCCACGGAGCTCCATAAGATGATCGCGTTGTCAAAAACAATGTTGGCACGCTCGTCGCCTCTGATCACTGTTTTCATATTTATAATATTTATCCACATGTTTCTAGTTTCTATATAGACACAACGTGTTTTAGTTACTTACAAGTGCTAATTACATTATGGACTAATAACTTAAATTCAGTAGTGATTTTAATTGAATATTTTGAATATTTATTTAATTTTTCAAATTATAACTGAACTTAATTGACTGTGTTAACTATCCTTTTCCAGTCCTTTTATTATTTTATTGTAATTATTAATTATTTGCATTCAATTAAAAAATATTTTTAATGATGCTAAAGAAGTATAACTTCTCACGCGCGTACATAAGTTACACGCATCCATTTTTTTATATTCTCGTACAATACGATAATGATAATTACTTTATTTTTCGTGGTATTTATTAGAAATCATGTCTTTTTTTTATTATAAACTCAGATAAGTTATTTTCTACATGCTTACGAGTTTTGTCTATTACAGTTGACGTCATAGCATAGATAATCTATAGACTAAAATGGCCGACAGCGTTTTTGTATGTCCATGAAAAGTCTATTTTAAAATTAAAGATTTGTAGCTTTCTAGGTCTCAAAAAAATACAATACATTTTTTTTTCGGTCTAATAGAACATTTATTAAACATTTCAAACCTTTTTCAAAAAAAGGTCAACTAGCCTATTGGTCAGTGCATTCGCCCGGATAGCGGAGGGTGCGAATTCGAGTTCCGATTGCTGCCTGGTTCACGTAGAATCTTCTCTAGTAAAATTTTCTTTAGATTTCTTAAATTTGATTGAAGTTTAGTCATTTTTCTATGAAATAAAATCTAGTTTAATTTGAATTGGCCTAAATGATGATAGGTAACTATTTGTTTCTTAGGTTTTCACGCACACCATTCATTAATTAAACCAAGTTTCAAGGGTATAGATGCTTTGATTTATATATTTATTGACGTTTTGCATCCCTTTCAGGGTGCTGATGATAATACAGACGATGCATCCTGAAAAGGTTGCGAAACATCAGTAAATAAATAATTTAGTGCATCTATACGACGACCTCCGTGACCGAGTGGTTTGTACGCCGGGTTTCATGGTGTCGCCGACTAGGTTTCCCGGGTTCGAATCCCGGTGGGGGCAGATGTTTGTGTGATGAATACGAGCATTTGTACTCCAGTCATGGATGTTTAATATGCTATTCTATATAAATATACTTATATATGTACAATATATGTTTTATCCGTTACCCTAGTCTTCCATAACACAAGCCTTATAGTGCTTACTTTGGAGCTTGCTAGTGTTGCCGATCGATGATTAATCGATAATCTATCGATAGCCAACCAATTATATGGCAATCGATCGGCTTATTGATAGTATCGATACTATCGATAGCACAGAAAAAGCCAATACTATCAGATGAGTGAAATACTATCGATAGCATTGTAGTTCGTTAATAACAAACTGTCAATAGTATCGATACTACCGATTTTATTTGCAACCATACCATCGATAGTTTAACAATTTGCAATATTATTGTTTACAATTTTCAGGTATTATAGTCAATCACAAACTATAGTCTAAAACAATCGCTAATATCGATACTATCGATAATATTGTTGCAGATAAAATCAGCAGTATCGATAGTATCGATATTATCTATAGACTTGCACTCATTCGATAGTATTGCCTTGTTTTGTGCTATCAATAGTTTCGATACTATCGGTTGTCTCGATTCAATCGATAGGCCTATCGATACATGATTTTTGATGTAAACTGTCGATAGTTTTAATATCGTTAGTTTGGCAACACTAAAGGCTAATTGGTGTGTGTTGGAAATATTATACCGTTGAAACTTCTTTATTTGATAGGTAACTATGTTTTTTTTCCATGTTTTTATAGCAAGTTCCATGGCAATACAACACACTTGCAACTTACTTGAATACTCCATGGTGTCTGGAATTGACTGTCTGGATGTACTGATGACCATTAAGAGTGGTCTAGTCGAACCTATATACGAATTGTGAGTAGAAATAAGTATAAAAAACACACATACAAAACAACACCCATACTAATGTTATAAATGCGTAAGTATGCCTGTCTGTTACTGAAAACTGAAAAATACACATAAAAAGTTGCATTGAGAATAGGGTATTTGACAGTATTAAAAATAAAGTGCCAATTGTTAGCATCTGTGTTTTGAATGAATATTGGCAGGGGTTATTACTATTTTTACAAAAAACAATATTCATTATTTTACTAAAAATCTACGAAAAAGATAATAGTTTTCTTATCTATTGTCACTTGACCCAAAACGCTTGGGATTGGCGGAGCCTAAAAGGACGTCACACGCAAGTAAACTTCCGGTTAAAGTGACATTACATTGTATTGTTTGACGTTTTAATAACAGTCGTGTGACGTCACACGCTAGTTAGACGCCATATTGTCCAGAGAAACGTTTTCGCGGCAACTTGAAAATGGAGTTTTTGATTTGGTTATTTTTACTGAAATACACAACAGAATGATGAATATCCACTTTTTACGGACTCCATAAACATTAGTTGATAACGTGAGATCTTTTTCTAAAACTTGTCAAATACCCTATTGTGATTAAGCGAATTGTGGTCATGCACCACAATTTTCGCGGATCAGTTTTCAGCCGCGAGTGCCGTAACTTCCCTTTTTGTTTTAATGTAAGTGTTTAAAGTCTGTTATTGGTTATATGTTTCTTGGTGAAAACCCATTTTTTATGCACACAGGTTCACAGAATCGTTTTTGAGACAACCGCCTGCATTCCAACAGTACTATTATCATAACTGGCTCAAAATCAGGATAGCTCTCTGCAGGTAAGTTTTATCGTATTTGTTCATCATCAGCCTATTAATGTCCCCACTGCTGGGGCACAGGCCTTCCCTATGGATCGAATAGGAAGATTGGGCCATGACCCACCACGCGGGCCCAGTGCGGATTGGTGGGTGCTAACGACTGCAGATGCAGCCGGGACCAACGGCTTAACGTGCCTTCCGAAGCACGGAGGAGCTCGAGATAGTAATTTTTGGTCACCCATCCAATGACCGACCACTGCTAAAGTTGCTTAACCTCAACGATCGCAGCGGAACGCGCTAACCACTTGCGCCATCGAGCTCCTCGTATTTGTTATAGGTACGTAAACTTCTATACTCTATCCAATTTCCTATGTAACAAAAGGTTAACGAACTGTACCCCAAGCACGAATTCGAATAGTTTGCGAGTGCGAAATGTCATTGTCAAATTTTGTATGGAAACTTGAACAGCAGCGACACAAAGTACGTAACGAGAACTAAAAAACAGTACACATTTAGAAACATCAGTCCATGTTTCTAAATATTTTAATCGAGAGTAAAGATGACTCGACTGAGTGTTCGCTTCTACAATAAAGTCCCGAGCAATATCCAAGAGTTAACGATAAATAAATTCAAATATAGTATAAAAAAAGAACTTATTAAAAATGCTTAATACAAAGTGTCTGATTATATTACAGACAAAAATACTTGGGTTTGAACTGTTCCAATCATACCAACAGGTTTTCTATATTAAATAAATCATGATTGTATTGACGCTGTAACAACATGATGATTTGTAAATGTTGTTACATTATGCTTTTAATGTTGTGGAGTTTTTTTCGCTCGTTTTTCTCCGCAGCTAAAAAAAATATGTCCAATAACGAGTGGTAGGGGAAAAAAAAATATTTGGACGATTCAAAAGTGTTGTACTATACATCCAATTTGAATAAAGATATATTGATTTCTGACTGGTGTAACCAGACGGATTACAAAGTTTAACGTTTCGTCGTGAATTATTTGCTTTATCGCTACTTCTTAATTTAGTTGTATTATAGGAGTAACTACGGTTCTTGTAATTTTTAAAAGCTTTTATTGAACTTGCAATGTATCTTTGTTCGGGTGGAATCTTGCAATTCAATTTTGAAGAACAATTCTTCATTCGATTGAGCTGAAATTTTGTAAACACGTTTAGTTTGGATAACAATACATGGTGAGCCATGTGACGTCATACGTCATAAATCCAATATGGCGGAACATACAGACCAGTGACCAGTTATTTTTGATGCACACCTACAATATGGGTATTGCTAACTCGAAAATAAAGTGACGTCATTTTAAACCCAATATGGCGGATTTAAAAAGTTGGCGGCCTAAGTTTATTTATTTATTTATTTTCTTAGAAAACCGACACCGTTTATTCGATACAAAATTTGCAGCACATACATTTCTAAAAGTATGACCAATGACAGGTTTTCCTAACTAAATTAACAATAGGTGACTTATTATTGGTACTTCTATCCCTAACAAGCGATCATCAAACAATCCATCCGTATGTAATGGTTATGTATTTGTAAGTTTTTTATGCTTTTCTACAATATGGGTCGATACCTACCCATACAATAATAATTTATTTGTTTCTTCCTTCTTTAGATTAACATCGCCGTTATCTACAAGTGCTTCATGGCTTTCTGTAGTACAAATGTGTCATTACGCATGGAGTGCCGCTTTACCTGCTTTACGACCTGATGATCGACCTGAACATAATCTGATACTAAGTTTAGATGATGGAGATACTGATAAGGTAGGGTTTAATGTACCACTTTGGAAAAACATTGGTCCTAATATAATCTTATTGCTTACTATGTATTTGACTATATGTTTTAAACTATATGATGCAATAAAGAGTATAATAAATAATCCCGGTCTCAACACACTACCTTGGGAAATCCTAGTTTCAATATACTGCCTTGAAATATCTCGGGTCTTAATACACCTCCTTGGGGAATCTCTGGGCCTAATGCTCTGCTATAGATATAGCTTTTGATTTTATTTTGTTATTTCTGACCGCCGAAGGTTTTCAAATGCTTCGCGCTCTTTTTTTCTTTTGCATTGCTAATAACAATGTTAAAAAAAATGGGTGTGAATTATTTGAAAATCTTTCGGCAGGCATCAATAACAAAATGAAATGATAAGCAATCCCTTCAGGCGATAGAACCCCTGTTCTCAACACACTATCAAGATGACTCAAGAGACGTAGAGACGTGCCTAGTAAATACAATGCACACAATAACTATGGTCTCAACACACCCCCTTGGAGTATCCCTTTATCCAAGACACGTTCCTTATAGCATCTCTTGTCCCAAGACACTGGCTTGATTCCCTCCCCCCTCCCCCAGTACTAAGTAATTCTGATATTAACACTTTTTTTTTTTATTTACTCCCTATAAATTCGCATACTATTTTTAAAATGGCAAAACCCGTGCTCTATTCACACTTTTAAACCATGATTTTGGCATAAAAAAAGTTATATATTAAGCACTACACAATCAAAAGCTTTTCTCAAATCGACACTTTTTTCACGTATCAGACGCTGTTAGCACTAGAAGCTAAACCCGAGTGCCTGGGCGATGTGTCTTCGCTTCAACCGCTTAGAAGACAACTACAAAGAGCGCTAGATGTAGCCGTTACAGCGCTATTATCGCTGCAGCATAGCACGCATCAATCTCATGGGTGAGTCGAATGTTATTTTTCAAGTTTTACAAATAATTTAATTGTACACCATTTTTTATTTTTTTTTAAGAATTCATGAGGGGAAGATACCGCCTTATCGCTAAAAAGCAGTTTCTTTCAGGCAACCGCAGTTTAACTGGAATTTACATAAACAATGGGCAGTAAATGCTTAAACCAATTTTGATGAATTCTATAGTGTTTAATATATTTATATAAAAGAATTTCCTTAATATTTTTATTGTTTCATATAATAAGCAGTTAGCGAATAGGCAGGCCTACAGAGAGAAAATCAAAATTACGTTTACTGAATTACACACCAGAATTTAAAAAAAAAATCCACTTTTTATGAACTCTATAAAAATTAGTAAATATCGTTTTCTAAACCTTGCCAAATATCCTATTGTTATTTCTTCTCTTAAGAGCACTTTTACAAAATTGCGCCGCTGCCGTACTGATCGGCGCGTAGGTAGATTTGCATTAGTATATATTGCATTTTACAGGTGATGTTTCGAGTCTTATAAAATAATTATTAATTAACAAATTATAAAAATATATATATATTTCAGTAGTTCAATGATGGTAGATTAGTTTTATGAAAGTTTTTGATAGTAATTCTATTTAATTCAATATCAATATACGAGGTAAACCTGCATTATTTTTTAGGAAAACTCACGGAGGTTAGATTTTTTTTGATAATTAATGAGATGGAAAATCAAAATTCTAATACAATATGCTACAACAAAAACATATTTCTAATGTCGTAGTAATTAATTTAATCTAATTTATTGAACATTATTGAGAGATTGAGGCGTTTGGAGTTGTGGATATTATCGTTTTTTCCGTAAACTAGCTGCGGTAGAACAATCAGTACAAAAAGAGGAAAATAGTATTTCCAAATATTCTACATTAACTTACAATAGGAAGAATAAATCTACCGTTTACTTCTACTGGAAATAGTCAAAATCTTTTCTAAGGGGGTAAACAAGGTTCAACGATTTTTTTGCAAAAAATGTGAAAGGGCTATTAAATCTCCAATATTAATAAAACTAATATCCCGTTATCGTTATTTTTACCCGACTGCGCAATGCAAGAGCGCCGCAGACAGGGTATAGTGTTTAACAGTCTATATAGGGTGAAATTGAATGTTTCTATGAAACTTCGTGAGATTGTTGGGTTATGTGTATAGAGTATGCCTGTTTTTTTTCGGATTTTTTTGAAGTATATTTTTTTTATGTATTTATTTATAATTTGTGTATTTTTATGTCCTTTCCTCCTTTTGAGTAGTTATTCATTTTAAACAAACAAACTTACATATCCAGTGAAAAACAACTAATAAATAAGCACTTCTAAAAAACGGAAAAACATTAAAATTCCACCGCGGGTCAACGACCGACCGCGCCCGCCAGCCGTTGAGTAAATAGGTACATAGCTCTACACAGAGCTCAGCTGACTCATTTGATTAAACACAATACAATAAAATCGGCTTAGATGCCTTTATTGAAATTGAAATAATAAGCACAAATGTCATCTTCTCTTAAGCAGAGAAAAACTTTAAAAGTTAATAATAATTTTGTCACGATTGGAAATAGGCAAATGTTAAACAAAAAGAAATACTTATTGCAGTTCAATACTTGGGTCAGAATGAAATTTATAACCAGGTATTCAAAAGTACTTACGAGACCGGCGATGTAAGTAGGTACAACGAGGAACGAAGAACATATTCATTTTTTTCACTAGAACTTTTTATCAAATCAATCACACTGGTAGTACACAATTAGTTGTTTCTAATCAAAAAGTATTTACACTAGCAATAAAAAGAGACTTAAATTATTATCTACAAAATTGTTGCTTTAAACCACCATTTTGCTGCAAACAAAGGTAGGCATGTTTGCGGACGTGTCTTTTCACCTTTTTTAAAGTGTCCCTATCACTACTCACTGCACAAAATGCAACTTCTATGGCTTGGGGACTCATTCGTAAACCAAACCTACTTCGCCACACTCGCGATAGCAGTACACCATCTCTAAATAGGTATTTTTGGTTCGTTAACCGAGGCATAATGAAATTTTCACAGTGTATGTCACTAAGTCAAAAGATGCGCACGCGCACGCGCGATTGATATACTTGCGACTGCGTTTTGCATGCAATCAAAGCAAACGTCCGCGTGCGGGGAAGAGGGGAGGTGGGCGGAATTCACATCATCAAAGACGCCGCAACCGGCGCTAGTTGCCAGCGTGCGGCGCGCCGCCCGCCCGTGCTTGCCGCAAAACAACATATTATTACGTGTGTGTGTGTGTGACTGTGGCTGTGATTAAATGTGTTCGGAATTTCATGACGTGGGCAAATCAGACACGAAGAGTTCCTTCCTTCACTAAGCTCGTAAGTTATACCGATTTGCTCTGTATGATTTTTCCCAATTTAATAAGCCGTTTGTGCTTAAGTTTTAATTAAACGAGGCAACTAACATTAACAATAAAAAAGAAGTTCTTACACTAACAGACAGGCTTTACCGATTTAAAATCGTGACAGTCATATTAACTTTATAGGATTTTTAATTGCTCTAACAGAAGATTTATTTTATTGATTAATTACCTGTGCTTTATGAAACAATATTCAAAGGTATTGTGTATCAGTGAATAAATAATTATAATATAGCATCTAAGACTATTTTATTGTAATGTACACCTACATCGCCGGTCTCGTAAGTACTGTCTAATACCTAGTTATAAATTTCTTTCTGACACAAGTATTAAACTGCAATAAGTATTTGTTTTTGTAACAAAATTATTATTAACTTTTTAGGTATTTTTCTCTGCTAATGAGAAGATAACACTTGTTCTTTATTTAAATTTTGTCATTGTAATATGACATCTAAGGCCCGTATGAATAGAACGATCTCAACTCTGAGAGCGATCTTGAGATGCTGTTTAGTATGAACACAGTATCTCAAGGTCGTAGTCTCACTGTACTGTAGATAGGTACGCGCCGCGTCAGCTGTGCGCGCGCGGTCGTTGCCCCCGGCGTCGGCCTCGCCTGGCCATATCAACTATTTTTCGTTTATTTTAGTAGTGCTTATTTATTTGTTATATTTCACTTACTATGAATACGTGTTTAAAAATAATTATCACTCAAAAGGAGGAAAGGACATAAAAATGCAAAATAAAAAAAAAATAAAAAACGAAAAAAATAATTTTAAAAAATCCGAAAAAAATCAGGTATACTCTATACATGTAACCCAACAATCTCACGAAGTTTCATAGAAACATTCAATTTCACCCTGTATATGTATGTTTGTTCCTTTGTGGCACACTAGAGACCAAACGCCTGGACCGATTTTGATGATTTATACATCAATCGATTCGTTTTTTAGCTACGAGTTATGGAGTGACCCTACCGCGGTGATAGTTCTGCGCAAACTCGTGGTACTGGCCCGAGCCAGTGGTAGCGGAGGGGATGCCCTGAGTCGCCCGTTGGCCAGACTGCACGGTTCCAGTTCTAAACATGAGCTGCAAGGTTAGTATCATTACCATTATTTTAAACTAGCGGCCCGCCCTCGCTTCGCTTCGGTGTAGAGCTGAAGTGTAGACTACAGTTTTTGCTCTCAGGCTTGTATTATACATAATGACATTCATCTATGATTCTTCTTATACCTGCATGCAAAGTCTCAGCCCGATCGGTTTAAAATTGACAAAGTTTTATACAAACTGTCATTCCCTATTTTATCCCCTTGGGGGTAGAATTGATCAAAATTTTTTCCGTAAGAAACTTGTACAGAGTATTAGAAAACTACAAAGAAAAAATCAGCCAAATCGGTCAAGCCGTTTTCATGTTATGTCGTGACAACGGAAAACGGGTTTCATTTTTATATATATAGATAGGCATTAATGAAATAAGTGGGTATGCTCAATATTCAATTCTGGCGTCTGCTTCTTTTTTAAAAATAGAATAATTGTTATCTTTAGTAATTTAGACGACCTCCGTGGCCGAGTGGTAGTAAAAACCGAATATTTGTAAAAGAAACAATAACAAATATTGATAGTTAATATTGGTTGATATTTTTTTCCATTTATTGTGCTTTGGCTATGAATGGTTGTTAACCTTAATCGTCAACCAAATGTCACTTTAATGTCAATTTTAGTAGCGTTCAGAAACTCGATTAAAATCTTTCGTTTACATAAAGGATGCACGTTCGTATGTGACCTAGTAAAAGTGCATGATTATTCATAACTACTCCGGCGGTAATGCAGAGATGAGCAAAATTGAATAGCTAGATTCTGATTCTGTCTTAATAAATAAATATTATTTAAAATCGGTTGTTTTTTTTCTTACTCTTAGTAAATAAGTTTTATTAAATAAAATCCTTTTTTTTCTAACTCTACCCATTTGTTTTGAATTGACAGCTATGACGTCACAATATGGCGCCCAGCCGGTCCTATTCTTAGTTGAATCGCATTGTAACATACAAAACAATTTCTTGGAAGATATACCTAGTCAGGTCATAAATGCTGTCACATGTTTAATATAAAATAATTGAAACAAGTTTATTCATTATGTAACCATTTATATACCAAAATGAACTTAACAAAACATACATTCTTATGACAATAAAGTTTATTCAAAATGACCTCCGTGATTTGGAATACAGGCCTTCAATCTGCGCGGCCAGTCGTCTATCGCAGCACGAACGAGGTCCATGTCAATATCGGCTGCTGCCTTAATCAAGGATGTCTTGAGTGACTCCAAATTGGGATAAGGCTTTGAGCACGCCTTTTCCTCCAAGTGTTGCCATATCTTGTAATCTAACGGACTAAATCGATGTGTGTCGAAAAAACAGGACATCTAAACGATGTCCTATTTTTCTTCGATATGCCCGAAGCCCTAAGTCTTCATTTAACACCCATTTCAACGTGATTCTGCTTAACCCCATCTGAAGGGCCAACAGTTTCTGCTTACATTTGGGATTTCTTTGAATTCGCGCCTTCACAGCGTTTATCACTGCTGGAGTCCTAACAGACCGAGGGCGACCACTTCTTGACCTGTCATCTACACTAGAGTCTTCATTGTATCGTTTGATGGTACGATAAACGAATCTTTTGGTTATATTCAATTTTTCAGTATGTCAAAATTTTGAATTGGCGCGTAACCGCAACGATGCAACGCAATAACTGCAACACGGTCTTCTTTAAGCGTCCACTCCATATTTAAAAACTAGCTCTGCCCCGCGGTGTTACCCGTGGTTTATTAGGGATATTTTCCCGCAGTAAAACGTAGCCCTATTAATCCAGGGTGTGAGCTAACTAAATACCAAATTTAATTAAAATCGCTCCAGCCGTTTAGACGTGAAGAAGTAACAAACATGCACACTCACAAACTTTCGCCTTTATAATATTAGTGTGATTAGTGTGATGAGTAAAATTGTAAACGTAAACGTTTTTATTTTCATGAACAATTCGAATTCAATAAACTTTTTTTGTGGCCAGCATTCTAAAAGAAAAGCTTTTACAATATATATTATATATATATTATATATTATATTTTTATCCCTCTGGCATCCTTGTACAGGCCCTGCCAGAATACCAGCGCTGTTATGGTGGGAATATTCGTTCCCACGATAACAGCATTAAGCTGAGGCAGGGTCCTGATTGGCCATTCTTCTTTCTCTTCTGTATTGTTTAATTTTATTGTTTTTTTTTTTCTACAAATGTATTTGCATGTTGGCCAATAAATACTTTTTTCATCCCACCACCTCGGAAAGTGTAATTTTGCGCTTCGAAATCTGGCTGGAAAATTCTATTTTATTCGCTTGAGCGGCAAAGTAGATTTGAATTTAGAACATCACATATAATGAGTACTCAATATAATTGTAAATTCAAAACGTCATTAAACCTATTTAATGTAACCTCTATGGTGCCAAATTTATGATTAGAACTTTTTAAATTGTGAAAAAATTTAAATTTGGAACCTTCTTGGTTTCTTTGTTTTATTTGCTTGCTTCGCGCCATTCTAGTTTTTCACGTTTTATTGCTTAAATATTTTGTCATTATAAATTGTTTTCTTTTTCATTTTGTCATTTCCTCGCTGAGGTGGGATGAAAAGTTACGTATTGCACTCGAGTGGAAAGATTTTTCACCTTGTGCTCGTTTGTTTCCCTCGCTGACGCTCAGGATTCTAATTTAGAATCACTCGCTGCGCTCGTGATTCAACTTTAGAATCCTTCGCTTGCTCGGTCATCCAAATCGAGCACGCGGTTAAAAAGGAACTTTCCACTCTTGTATAATAAATAACTATTCTTTCTTTCTTTCTTTACTGCGTGACAATACTTATGACCGGACTGTGTATAATGTATGTTTATATATGTTATATGTAGAAGAATGCGCGTCTCTCTGGGGTCAGAGTGTGAATGGGGCTCGTTCGTGGGAAGGGGCTCCGAGGTGCAGCATCACGGCCCCACACAACAGGCCGCACCCGCTATATGTGAGTATGACATATGAGGAGTGAGTGTCTGTCTGTTCAAAACGGAGATATTTCCGCCATAACAAAATTGTGGATAAATGAAAAAAAAGCGAGTGTGCTTTCGGCCACACGACTGAGGTGAAACTTCTTTAGCTTCAATGATCTGAAAATCATAAACTTACCCGAACAATAGGGTATTTGACATGTTTTAGAAAACGATCTCACGTTATTGACTAATGTTTATGGAGTCCGTAAAAAGTGGATATTCATCATTCTGTTGTGTATTTCAGTCAAAATAACCAAATCAAAAACTCCATTTACAAGTTGCCGCGAAAACGTTTTTCTGGACAATATGGCGTCTTACTAGTATGTGACGTCACACGACTGTTATTAAAACGTCAAACGATACAATGTAATGTCACTTTAGCCGGAAGTTTAAGCGTTCTGGGTCACGTGCTAATAGATAAGAATACTGTTATCTATTTCGTTGGTTTTTAGATAAATTATGAATATTTTTTTGGTAAAATTAGTAAAAACCCCTGCCAATATTCATTCTAAACACAGATGCTAACAATTGTCACTTTATTTTTAATACTGTCAAATACCCTATTGTTAATAGAAAAAAAGCTCACCAATCCGCACTTGATACAACAATGTAATATATATTTATTACAATATATAATATAATTTTATATACGTAAAAAATGTGTATCTCATTGTTATATTTTGAATTTGATAATGTAATTATTTGTTTTTACATTCAATTATTATTGAAATAAATGTATTTGTTTAAGACATTTTATGAACATTTGAATCAATTACACACTGATACTGCATTTGCTTTTATGTTTTGATGTTGACATATCATTAATATTAATTATAACTACCTATATACTGCCGTCCCCAAATTAAAACGCGGCTTAATGACACCACCAACTTCTGAGATATGGCCAAAAAATGTCTCGTAAAATTTAAATTATTGCTATTTTGTAACCATTCAGCATATGACGGATTTTTAGACAAACTATAAAAGATACGAATTCTTGTTAAAGACAGATCGCTAGAGAATTAAAAACTGTATAAGATGCAAATTGGGGCTGAAAAATCGATCACATGTGACTTAGCCGCACTTTAGTTTGAGGACGGCAGTATAATTAATATTTGCATGCCAATTAAAATGGTTAAATAGGCTTAAGTACAATCTTTTGGATGACTATACTATACTATTCCAACCTCTCTAATGTAAATAATCTACCCTATTTACAGTAAATAAATCATTTCATTTAATTTCAAGAGCTTCTCCATCACATAGCGAATTTCACTTTATTATTTTATTAATTAAAGACGGTACTTAACTTATAATTAACATAATTTGTAATAATGGTTGTTTAGTTGGAATACGGCGTAGAGCCGGAGAATCTCAAGTTCATGCCCGAAGCGCCTTCATACCTGCAGGCCGATGTGCCGCCGCCCAGACAGATGGACACTATACGGTGAGTTATATGTATATAAGTTTAAAAATGCCTGCGTATTATATACAATATACGACCAAGAGAAAGCTGCAGGCCAGACTTTATTAAAGAAAAATTACTAACCCTCCCATAAATATATATTATGGAATTAGCAATGTTTGTACGCAAATATCAGACATATTATAAAAGAAATAATAATCGTCGCCGCCAACTTAATCTGATTCCTCCCGAACCTAAACTGGAGATGTATAAAAATGGACCATTATACCGATCCATATTGATATATAATAAAATTCCCGTTATTATTAAAACAGAATCTAATATAAACATATTTAAGAATAGATTGAAGCAGCATCTTATAAAAAAAGCATATTATTCTGTTGATGAATTTATGAATGAAAAATAAATTTAATTTAATTTAACTTAATTATGCTTGACCTGTTTATTTGATTTGATTTAGTTTGACTTAATTATGTTTGACCTATTAATTTGATTTGATTTTGTTTAACTTGATACGATATGATTTTAATTTGACTATTATGATATGATATGATTATGATGATATGATATGATATAAATTTACTTGATTAATTTTTATAATGGATTGTTTTTGTTTAAATTTGGTTGGACCTGATGTGATTTAATATGATCAACAATTAAGTGAAATTAATGTATTTAATGTTAAGCTTAAGTTTGTTGCAACACCCCAACGGGGTCATGTACCACTCTCTATTAAGTATGTAAGACCTTATAATAAAAAATGTGCATGAGCAATGTGATATAAATAAATAAATAAAATGCCCTATATTTACAACGTTAATAAATACCCTATGGCGTGAGACAAAATGTAAACAAAGAATCTGAGGTTCCAAAACTTTTATAATATCAGAAAGTACCCACTAGTCAATGATTAGGTATAATTTATGTAACCTATAATTTATTAACAACTTAACAATTAAAAAAAAATTACAACAAACTCAATAAATAAAACAAGAAAATAACAAGAATTTAAAAATAAGAGAATATGCATGCTCACGTCAACAGGTTGATCAGAAGAGTAAAGATGGCTGACGTAAACCAACCGATTACAAAACACAACACTTCAACGTAAAATACTTATATCATGTCTACTCTTAAATTATGTCGTATTAGTACGTCTTAAGTTTGGGAATGATTGTGTTTTTAGGTGTTTTTCCATGTCAACTTAAGTTGTGAAAATACTTTTATCAGCACAATTAAAATATATGAATTTATGACGTGTATGTACGTTAAATATGTATAAAATATTTTATTTTCTTATTCATAAATATGTATGTACCAGCTTTTATAATAATTAACTTAACGTTTCACTGCATTTCCTATGTAAATAGTATTTAATCTTCACTTTTGTCAAACGTGACCTTAAAAAGTATCCTTTTTATGGTTTGTTTACATTTTGTCTCAGGCCAATGTGAATAGATTATAGATACGACATGACGAACAAAATCGTGGCCGAAACCTGTCCAAAAGGTACATTGGACGATCCACGGAGCTCCGCAAGATGATTGTTTAGTCAAAAACAAAATCAGGCGTTAGTTCAAAGTCAACATTAATGCATATTCAATAAGGTCTTAATTTATACGCATGTGTCAAACAGTTTTTGCTATATGCGGAAGAATAAAGACTTTATTTCTATGACTCTTTATCGTAATTTTGAATGCGCTGGTAGCAATATAAGAGAAGGGAGCGCGAGGAAAAGAGACGGCTATATTACCCACTATGCATTTGAAAATCACAAATATTTTCTATTAAATCAGTTTATAGAAGTATTATAACAAAATTAAAACAACAAAATGCGTTAATTAACAACCATTAATTAAAAAAAACGACGGGTGGCACTCCGGAAGTGCCGGCAGAAGTTAAAACTTGAATATTAACGTTGTGCATTTTTGGTATTTTGGACTGGTTAGGGAATACTTTTGCACGATTTTCTTTAATTATCAGTATAAAAGTACTATCATTTATGTGGTAGAACACAATATTTATTTATTGCGCTATCGTACCCAAACGTGACAGTTTATATTACATTAAAAAGTTTATCTCTCAGAATTTCTCATTTAAGCGCACCTAGCAACATCTATTGTAAATAAATGCTTTTTCTTCGCAATAAAGCTGCCACCTGGACGTCCTAGATACAGACTTATTATTATGATACGATAAAATAAAATATTACTATGTGTCGTCCAATATATTTTAAGGCAACAACCTTTCCAATTTTATTGTTTTCGTCAGATCCCCTATCAGGCCACGTGTCATCATGATGCGATCAGCCCACGTGTCCTGACGCAAGTTTAACGTTTTTTACCCATTACAAAAAAAGTGTACAACACCGCTAAAGAAGTTTTCACTTCATAAAAGCTTGAAAAATAATAAAAAATAAATATAAATTTGACATTTGTTGTACCTGGATTGTAGTTTTTCATCGTAACACTGTGTATTAAACATGTTTTAGACACACGACAAGTTTTGTGTCTGTGGTTCTGTTGAATGTTTTCAAATGTTTCACACACAAAGTTTTGTGTATGTGGTTCCGTTGAATGTTTTCAAATGTTTCACACACAAAGTTTTGTGTATGTGGTTTTGTTGAATGTTTTCAAATGTTTCACACACAAAGTTTTCTGTATGTGGTTCTGTTCAATGTTTTCAAATGTTTCACACAAAAAGTTTTGTATATGCGGTTTGGTTAAATGTTTTCAAATGTTTCAAACACAAAGTTTTGTGTATGTGGTTTTGTTAAATTTTGCTGGACCCCCGGCTTAACAAAAATCGCGTTTTGTCACCAGATACATGTACTTAGGAGGGGGTGGGTTACCGGCTAAATGTAAACAGTGCGGTCGATGCGGTGCTCTGGCCGCCCATCATTCTACACACCACCATCGACACGCTTTATTGGTCGCTGCCGACGCCAGACTGATGCATCGGTGCAGGTAAATATACATTAATGAATGAATGAAATCATTATTATAGTCTGTCCATTATATTATTATCTTTTTGACAGATCGATCGAAGTAAAAATAGTGACACCCTATCACATAACTCGTTCGATTTAAAGCTATAATCGATTTTATGCTAGAACATTGTATAATCGATTATAAGTATCGAAATTATTTTAGTTATCAAAAATACTGGTGTTTAATAAATTATTACAAAATCTCATTAGATTTATTATTTTACCTAGTACAAATATTTGTGTGATGAGCACGAGTATTTGTTCTGTGTCTGGGTGTGATTTATCTATATTATGTATATATATACAACAAAAAAAGAAGTATACTTTTTATATGTTTGTTTATCCTAATACTATGTACAATTAGATTATAAAAAACTATATCTTTGACTTTTTTTCCTTACAATTTGGTTGTAATGATTTATTTCTAACGATTATTTGTAATCTTAGTAATCATTATGTGTGGCACATCACTAAGTGGGCGGTACCCGTCCATGAAGTATAATATTATTTGTATGACAGTTTAACGTAAACAATACAAAATTTGATGGGCGTCGATCTGTCAAACAGATAATAATAGAATGGACAGACTATAGCCTGTAGCGGCGACATCTATATGCCCCACATATAACTAACATGGAGGAAATAATCACTCGCCTCCTCAAGAGATGGCGCTACCGGCGCTGCTTTCACAACGTAAGGAAGCCTACATCACGCAAGTGAAATTCGGTAGCCAACAGTTCATATATACAATGCCCGACTAAAATTAATCACGCCACGGCCCCCGAGATTACATCATCCAGCTCGGAGGAAGATCTTCTCCTTTGGCCTTCCTACAAGCCTGTTAAGGTCCCCACTGCTGGGAGATTAAGTCGTGACCCACCACGCGGGCCCAGTGCGGATTGGTGGGTGCTAACGACTGCAGATGCAGCCGGGACCAACGGCTTAACGTGCCTTCCGAAGCACGGAAGAAATCGAGGTAGAAGATTTTTGGTCACGTACTCGCAAACTATTCGAATTCGGTAATGGTTCGTGTTAAGGGTACTGCTATACCAGAAATGATGCAGGACAAAAACTACCACAGTTAATAGGGTATTTGACAGTATTAAAAATAAAGTGCCATATGTTAGCATTTGTGTAGAATGAATATTGGCAGGGGTTTTTACTGTTTACAAAAAAAATGGTTGCCTGTAAAGTCGGTTTTACGGGCGAAGATTTTACGTGACAACGTCTTTTTCTCGGTAGAATATTTATTGATATGAATATAATTAAATTGCACAATAGGAACAAGGAATTGAATGAAAATAAGAATTGCACAAATTTTAACTATAGAAATATATTTTGTTTACTAAAACATTGTACATGTAAACTTAAACTTAACACGAGAGACTCATCGTAACGTTACCGAGCGTTACACTTTTTCATAAGTGACTCCCAGCCGCAACCTAATTTAAGACGTTGTCACGTCAAAAAATATTCATAACTTTACTAAAAACCCACGCAAAAGATAATAGTTCTCTTATCTATTGTCACGTGACTCAAAACGCTTGGGATTGGCGGAGCCTAAAATGACGTCACACGCAAGAAAACTTCCGGTTAAAGTGACATTACATTTTATCGTTTGACATTTTAATAACAGTCGCGTGACGTCACACACTAGTAAGACACCATATTGTCCAGAGAAACGTTTTAGCGGCAACTTGAAAATGGAGTTTTTGATTTGGTTATTTTTAGTGAAATACATAACAGGATAATGAATATCCACTTTTTACGGACTCCATAAACATTAGTCAATAACTTGAGATCGTTTTCTCAAACTTGTCAAATACCCTATTGTTTTTTTTTAATTAATTATTTACGACCATGGATACAAGTCCTTCTGTCGTATACATAAATACAAATCTTAATTCTAAAGAAAAGTTTACTAGAAAAAAAATCCACGCGGACCAGGCAGCGGACGGGACTCGAACCCGCATCCTTCGCTATCCGGGCGAATGCACTGACCATTATGCTACCACGGCCCTATTCGCCGCGTCGAAATTTTCCTAGCCTTAAGCTGCAAGGCAGCGCCATCTCTTCGCATTGTAGGTAATCCACAATGTAAAATGAATACTTTTTCAAGTATTAAACATTTGAAAGAAGAAATAGCAATTATAGTTATGTTTTTTTTTATTTTTTTTCTAATAAACTTTTCTTTAGATTTAAACATCTAGCAGTTAAATGCTTAAAAATAAATAAAAACATAACAAATCTTAATCTTCTTTTTTACGTTAGAATGTCGGAGTGACGCATTCTAAAGTTTCTTTGAGTGTGGGCACGAAATGTATCGAGTTGGTTTTTTCGATAAGCTTCTGTGAGGCAGCCAACACTACAATAAAGTTCTCACGTCCACATGACCGGAATAGCGTGTATTTAAAAGATTCCACTAATTCGATTCTTGAGTTGCGCAGATGGTTGAAACACAAAATCATACCAATTTTATTTCACAATATCCGCTATGAACGAATTTAAGTATAATAGGGTATTTGACAAGTTTTAGAAAACGATCTCTCGTTATTGGCTAATGTTTATGGAGTCCGTAAAAAGTAGATAATCATCATTCTGTTGTGTATTTCAGTAAAAATAACCAAATCAAAAACTCCATTTTCAAGTTGCCGCGAAAACGTTTCTCTGGACAATATGGCATCTTACTAGTGTGTGACGTCACACGACTGTTATTAAAACGTCAAACGATACAATGTAATGTCACTTTAACCGGAAGTTTATTTGCGTGTGACGTCATTTTAGGCTTCGCCAATCCCAAGCGTTTTCGGTCACGTGACAATAGATAAGAAAACTATTATCTTTTTCGTTAGTTTTTAGTAAAAGTATGAATATTTTTATTGTAAAAATAGTAAAAACCCCTGCCAATATTCATTCTAAACACAGATGCTAACAATTGACACTTTATTTTTAAAACTGTCAAATACCCTATTGAAATAAGACGCCAACCGCACTCGATGAAATCCCGCCAAAACTCCCCAATGGCGGTAAATAAATGTATTATTGCCATAACAATTTTTTTGCTGGAAATCTATATATATAAAACTCAAAGGTGACTGACTGACATAGTGATCTATCAACGCACAGCCCAAACCATTGGACAGATCGGGCTGAAATTTGGCATGCAGGTAGATGTTATGACGTAGGCATCCGCTAAGAAAGGATTTTGATCAATTCTACCCCCAAGGGGATGAAATAGGGAATGAAAGTTTGTATGAAACTTTATCAATTTTAAACCGATCGGGCTGAGGCTTTGCATGCAGGTATAAGAAGAATCATAGATGAATGTCATTGTGTATAATACAAGCCTGAGAACAAAAACTGTAGTCTACACTTCAGCTCTACACCGAAGCGAAGCGAGGGCGGGCCGCTAGTCTAGTATAATTAAAAAGGTTTAAAACATCTTTATTGAGAAGGGCATTAGGACAAAGCAGCTATATTTTGAATAATACTCTTTGTTACAATCGGCAAAGGTCACAAATTACATTAACACGAGATATACTACGAAAGGCGGCCTTATTGCTTAACATCAATCTCTGCCAGTAAACCTATTCAAAATATTTTATATTATGTTTCTTTTACAGATGCGGAGGAAAATGGACGCTTGTATCGAATGTTTAATTTAAATAATACCATTATTATTTGTTAATGTATAAATGAATGTATTAAATCTAAAGAAATTTGTACTTGAAAAAAACGCGGGCCAAACTACCGCGGCCCAAACGGCCGTGTCGAATTTTCTTTTTATTATTTCTCAGTATGCACTTTCTAATGTAATAATGTTTTCCTTAATGTTCATAAGTGTGTATTCATAAGGTGTTACGTGAAATAAATTTTGTTATAATTGATAAATTGGCCTTGTTATTTTTAATCGAATGAACTATGAAAACCGAACAAAATTCAGAAGTCTTTGACGAAAACTCCATATAAAATTATAGGTACCTACTCAATTTGGACTCTAACCCCTTATTAATAAAGAGCAATAAGCTTGGTCTAATTACGCCGTGTTTTGTCCTTAGTACTCAAATGCCATTTGCCATTCAATGAACTGAGACAAAACATAGAGTTACAAATCCAAACCTATGCCCGGTATGAGAAAAATGTGAGGAGTAAAATCTATGGATGAATGACATTAATGACCTCTTTACGTTTTTGTGCGCAACCTCATCTGCGCACTTTTTACTTTTAGCCATGGCAACGGATAAAAAACATTAAGTTGTCACAAATGTCAATTAATGTACCCACTGCTGGAGCACAGGCCTTCCCTATGGATGGAGTAGGAAGATTGGGCCATGACCCACGCGGGCCCAGTGCGGATTGGCGGGTGCTAACGACTGCAGATGCAGCCGGGACCAACGGTTTAACGTGCCTTCCGAAGCACGGAGGAACTCAAGATAGTAAATTTTTGGTCACCCATCCAATGACCGACCACTGCGAAAGTTGCTTAACTTCAACGATCGTAATCGAAGGCGCTAACTACTTGCGCCATCGAGCTCCTCTTCTTTTTTTATAGATAGTTTCCACAAATGACTCCACCCCAACAGATGTTAAGTGACGGCGAAGTGCAAACGTGAAAATAGCTGGTACAGTAGTTCTACCTGCCACACCAGCCATCCTCACCCTGCCGGCCTGCGCGTTGCTTCTTCACGCCTCTTTTAAAGGATTGCAGGTTATAAGGAGGGACTACGTGAGCGGGCAGAGCATTCCATTTACGGATAGTGCGACAAAGAAATGAGTCACCAAATTTCTTTGTACGCGTTGGAATTGTAGCCACATTTAGACGGTGACAACGTAGGCCAGCCGATTTTCAAGAAACTTGCCGGGGTGTTAACCTAATCATACTTACAGAGTCGGATTAAGAGGTGGTTTTTGAAGTTATACTTCTTTAGGCGCGTTATGAAAAAATGATGAGAGTGAAATTTTAAGATGCGCGCGCAGCACTGTAACACAAAAAATTAACAGCATGAAGTTGGTCGCTTTAGCGACCAACTTCATGCTGTTACTTTTGTGTTTACCGCACATTAAGAAAATCTTCCAACAAAATAGAAATAGAATCTCTATTTAGTGGGTGCTAACGACTGCATTGTGAAGGCCTATCAAAAGTATTTATTAATCTGGAACAACGGAACCAAAGCGCGATTCAGGAGGCTACAGCGCCATCTCTTGACCATTGGTGTAGTAGAACCAAAAACCACATCTTTATTTTTTGTAATAAAGTAACAGTTATAGGTATTCATATTTATAATATCAAAAGTATTTATTAATCTGGAACAACGGAACCAAAGCGCGATTCAGGAGACTACAGCGCCATCTCTTGACCATTGGTGTAGTAGAACCAAAAACCACATCTTTATTTTTTGTAATAAAGTAACAGTTATAGGTATTCATGTTTATAATATTTATCCACATGTTTCTAGTTTCCTTTTGTCTTCTGTGTCCTTTTCCAGACTTTTTATTAATTTATTGTAATTAATTATTTGCATGCAATTAAAAACTAATTTTAAACGATGCCAAAGAAAGATAACTTCTCACGCGCCTACATAAGTACACGCACCCATTTTTTTGTAATATACATCTCGGCATCAACATCTGTGAGTGAACAATCACCCCTATTTTCTAACCCTTAGGGTAGTTTGTTTCTTTCAACTTTGATGTTTCTCCTTTCCAATAAAAAAATGAATTATCAAAATCGGACCACTCCTTAAAAAGTAATGGGTTCTCATACATTACAATCAGTGAGTGAACAATCAATCATCCCCTGTTTTCATATCCTTAGGGTTGGATTTTCCAAATTTATATGGGACCAACTTCGGTGTATGCCCTTTCCATAAAGAAAGAATTATCAAAGTCGGACTACTCTGAAAAAGTTATGCGTGGTCGTACATAAAAAAAAATATACGCGTCGACTTGAGAATTTCCTCCGTTTTTTTCATCGATTAATAAACTACTTCCAGTTGCCCTGCCTCTAAATTATGGACAAAGAGACTGCTGTACTAGTCTGTGCTCTGCGAATTGCGACCAATGTGGATTGGGCACTGCAGAATGAGCCCAATGCGGATTGGTCTCAGTACGGAATGGGTCCAACGCTCCCGGTCTATGACCATGGCTATCGATCCATCGCACACGATTCCGGTCCACCGTACAAGCTCCCGGTCCATCGCACACGCTCCCGGTCCATCGCACACGCACCCGGTCCATCAATCACCATATAAAACTTTAAACCAAGTCCACAACTCCCACCGTCAGTGGTCGCCCACCTGGGCAGCGGCCCATCTAGCTACCCATCCAGCTGCCGAGCTAGTTGTCCAGTTTGCTAGCTTGCTAGGTTGTGAACTTGTGACGGTACATTTTCGCCTAGCCTCCAACCCCCATTCGCCAAACCGTTCGAAAATGAACTACGTTCACGCAGTTTCAAAATTTAAACTAGTTCACGCGTTTACGAAAAATTTATACTATAACTGAATCAGTTCCGCTGTTGTTGTGTGGCTGGAGGCTAGAACACACCTGTTAATTAGTGATTTCAATGCAATTATGCAACATTGGTAGGAACTGTGCCACACTAAGAATATCAGTTCCACTCTCTGTTTTATTTCCGTGCTACCAGCCTTACGTAACGTCAACTTAGAACTCTAATATTCGCAGTGCCAGACTATAAAATTATTCGAAAAATAATGATTATGTCAAATCTTACTAATCGATCGATTACGCAAGAATGAATGTCGACAATATCAGCACATCCCTATACTGAGATTGGCTAAACTGCAGGCCAATTGTGTTCGCTAATTGTGATATTGTTTTGATGTCAATTTCACATTACGTAATATGCTCTCCGAAAAATGCGATATCAAAATGACATCAACTTATGCGTATTAAAGATCAACTCTTTAAAATGATATGAACTTGATACTTAGACCATTAAAGGTCTAAGACTTGATATCAGTTTAAATGCGTATTACGTTCAACTTTTTGACTTAAAACAGTATCGCTTAAACGTCAAAAATGTGATACAGAATATGATATTGATATGATCTTGATGTGACATAGTATAAATACCATTTAAAAACAATGTCAACTTGGCATCAACATCATATTGACATCACATTAGGATTTTATCACTAAAAATTTCATTTCATAATTAATTTATCTATCTAATTGACCCGCTGCGCTGGGCTCAAGGAACAAGTTCTGAGCTGGGTTACGTTTCCAACATAAAGCGCAACTTTTTGACATAACATGTATGTAATTTATGTCAAATTTGACATTTGTTATACCTGGACCGTAGCCGAGGTTTGGAACGTAGCCCAGGGCCAAGCAGTGTTACCAGACTCACCCTAGATTCTGCTATTTAGTAAGATTGTATAATTTTTGGCTATTATTATAAAATAAACTTTTCAAAATTAATAGTGGGTCTCATTCTGGAATGATTTCCAAAACTTAAACGAAAGTTATGAAGATTATTCAGCATGCGTGCGGATGGGTGGCAGCTTGTGGCCCTGGTTTGGGATCAATATTGGTGCCAAAGAGAGCCGCATGCTGTAAGCCCGGCTGTTCATCATATACAAACGTAACTGTCTCCAGAGATTAAGGTCGATGGATGTGGGACTGTAAATGGGCGATCTAGTTGTTAACTGTTTGGTATACGCTGATGACGCCGTCGTAGTTGCAAATAATCCAGCTGATCTTTAGACACTAATCACAATAATGAAAGATGATTGTATGAAGAATGGCTTACAACTAAATGCGAACCGTGTCTTATGTAGCTCTACTTTTCTCTGCCTACTCTACCTGGAACTCGGCATGAAGATATAGATAGATAGATCGCCGTGAATACTTCTATATTTTTTGTAAGTATTCCGCCAGACAGCAATAACTCATGTATGATTGTGTGAACACCTTTTCACCGACTGGTTCGATGATGGCCTATTATGGTATATTACAGCATCTAACTTTTTCTAGTAAGTCACTTCGCCTTACTGCTTGAATGGGCATGCCTGTTATGACGTCATCCACTGAGCTCTTGTCGCTGTTAATGTACCAGCGGTCGGTAGATATGCTTGCTCCGTGCCATACAGGCAGTACTTCCCTAGCTGCAGGCGCGCTATTGTCGTCTCCCAAGTGCTCCAAGCGACGCAAATATTCAGCTCTCAATGAGAACTACATACTTGCGCCGTTTGGTGTAGAGACTATGGGCTTATGGGGTCCAAGCACTCGTTCCCATTTTAAGGAAGTGTCAAAAAGGCTCGGCGAAGTGACTGGTGATCAAAAGGCTGGTAGCTATCTTTGTCAACGGATCAGTTTTGCCATCCAACGTGGCAATGCTGCCAGCCCATTTCTGATAGCGGCGCTGGAGGTGACATATTTTTTATTTTGTAAATAATTTATTTAAGTAGATAAGAAGATTAAGCTATATAGGTTTTTTATTTGTATTCTTTCAATATCTTATTATTTAAATATATAATCCCCCCTTGATTTTATAATAAATGTATGAACATAAATCGAGCTTAAACTGGAGATAATTATTTATAATTACGTAAAAAGGAATCGGTTTCCTACCTGCTTTACTATTATCTTTGGGATATTTTTAAAATATTTAGCAGAATATTTGTTCAAATCTGGTAACACCAGTGGAAAAAAAAAGAATCTTTGCGAAGCGTTTTCCAAGTGCGACTGCGTTGCTTGCTAATAATTTTCCAAAGCTCCTTTCTT